ATTTGAAACTGTAAAACAGATTCATATCACAATGCCCGATAGACCTGGTATCTGAATGTGACAGCTGAAATCAAAGAAATCACTGGATGAAGATAAGGGCAGATTGCAACAGAAGAATCAGCAGACTTAACAGGTTAAGAGAAATTATACAAGTAGAGTGAAGAAAGAAAAAAGACTGTAGCTCGGGGTAGCAGCGAACGCCTGTCATCCCAGCACTTGGGAGGCTGAGTCAGGAGGATTGCTATGAGTTCAAGGCCAGCTTGAACTGCACAGCAAGACTGTCTCAAAAACAAAATGAAACAAAAACTGAGGGGAAAAAAGATTGTGTAAATTTAACGGAGCTTTAATAACTTTCAAGAGGGCATAAAGCAAGCAAATCTACATATATTAGGAGCTCCAGAAAAAGGATGTATTTGGCCTTATTCAGAGAAAACATGAAAAAAATCTAATGAAATCTACTTAAAAACAACTTGCACTGATACACGAATTCAGCTCCGTGGAAGGATATAAGATAAATACACAAATGCCATTTGAATTTCTACATGCTAGCAATCAGGAACTAAAATAAGAATGATAACATCTATAATAGTATCAAAACTATGAGATTGGGGCTGGGGAGATGGCTCAGTGGAATAAGCGCTTGCCTGGCAAGCGCAAGGGCCTGAGTTCAATCCCCAGCTCTGTAAAAATAAATAAATTAATAGATAATAAAAATAAAAATATTTGAACAGTTACCTCACCTAAAAAGACATATGGAGCTGGGCATGGTGGTGCATGGGTGTAACCCCAGCACTCAGGAGGCTGAAGGAGGAGGATTACCATGAGTTCGAGGCCAGCCTGAGTTCCACAGTGACATGAAGGCCAGCCTGAACAATATAGGGAGGGCTTGTCTATATATATGTATATACATGGGTTTGTTTTTTTTTTTTTTTCCGTACCAGGGATCAAACCCAAGAACTCAGGACCTAGCACTGCCAGGTAAGCACTTATTCCACTGAGCTATCTCCCCAGCCAAAAGTTGAGAAGGATTTTTTTTTGGCTTGCTCTGGTTGCCTTAAGAGCAGGTCTGGTAAGGCATGTGGAGCCGGGGATCGAACCACCTTATCCTGCACCTGACTGTGTTTGCATAAGCAGATGCTTACACAACTGAGCTAAGCGGCAGGCCCCCTGGCTTGTCTAATGGGATGGCAAATAAGGGCAGAGGGACACGCTCACCATCACTGGCCACCAGGGAAACATGAATAAAACCTGGTCACCTCGATTGGCAAGACTAAGGCTTCACTCACCCTTGCCCACGTGGGCCCAAATGTCGCTCATCAACAGGTCCACAGATACACACACACTGTGGTTTGCCTCAACTGGAGCAATACTCAGCGCAGAAGGGGAATGGATTACTGGTACATGCAGAATTATCAATAAATTTCTTTTTTTAAAGAGAAAAGCAGGGGCTGGAGAGATGGCTCAGTGGTCTAAAGCACCTACTTGAAACAAGCTTGGCAAAGCACAGGGAC